AGCAGTGCTTAGTAAATTATATTTATGCAATTAATCAGGTCACATGATCATATGTCATATGATGTGTTATAGTCATATTTCTTGTATGATGCCTTCATTATAACACTAGTTGTATGTCACTATCCACAGCAGTGCTTAGTAAATTATATTTATGCAATTAATCAGGTCACATGATCATATGTCATATGATGTGTTATAGTCATATTTCTTGTATGATGCCTTCATTATAACACTAGTTGTATGTCACTATCCACAGCAGTGCTTAGTAAATTATATTTATGCAATTAATCAGGTCACATGATCATATGTCATATGATGTGTTATAGTCATATTTCTTGTATGATGCCTTCATTATAACACTAGTTGTATGTCACTATCCACAGCAGTGCTTAGTAAATTATATTTATGCAATTAATCAGGTCACATGATCATATGTCATATGATGTGTTATAGTCATATTTCTTGTATGATGCCTTCATTATAACACTAGTTGTATGTCACTATCCACAGCAGTGCTTAGTAAATTATATTTATGCAATTAATCAGGTCACATGATCATATGTCATATGATGTGTTATAGTCATATTTCTTGTATGATGCCTACAATATAGCAGGTTATTGCCTTAGTTATTTCATTCATGCATATTAATGAGGTAACATGACTATATATGGTCATCTGATGTGTTAGTCATATGCCTTGTCAAGTGCCTCCATTATTGCACTGGTGGCACTCCATATCTGCAAGTGTTTGAGATATTACAATTATGCATATTAATTAGATCACATAACCTGAGTTATCCAAAGCAGGTAATTAATATGCATGAATTTCCACTATAAAGTAATCAGATCTGTGGACTATATCAAGTTTCATTGACCTTTGAAGAGTGGTACATCTATGAGTTGGTTAATTTATGCAAATTAGGTAATTAATAAGCAAATAATTTTACCCCAAACGAAACTGCATATGGCTTAGCCAAGATCACCTATGTACTAAGTGTAATTGAAATATGATGAGTGGTTTTTTCAGATATTGGTGGATTATTGAGTAATTATTATGCAAATTAAGTAATTAATAAGCATGGTTTAGGCCAAAACCTAATCAGGTCTGGGTGTTTTCCCAGGGTATCTATGTCCCTAGTAAACTAGTAGTTTTATTGAACTAAAAAAAAGAATAACATACTAGGACAAGGCGTGGTGGAAATAATTATGAACTCAAACAAAATACAATTGTCACACTCCATTCCAAATTTTGAATTTTACTGGAAAATAAAAATGCCTAAATTACAGACAAACAAACTGACAAAATGGAAAACATATTTGAGGATGTGAATTAAATGTACCTGTTCGAGTAGTTCTGTTTGTTCTGGTGTACACTGTAGATGGTTAACTATAACATTAAAATGTTCCATTGACAAATCAGGTACATTTGCTATGCATTGCATAAAATTAGTATCTCTAAGCAAACACTGATGAGAGTTCATTGGCTCTTCCACCTGCACCTCCATCTGCACCTCTGCTGTAAATAAAGTTGTACAATGGTTATTAAAACCCTTGTAATGAATTTACTGAGACTGGGTCCAGTGTCCATATCATTTATTGGGTAATTCGAAAAAGCATTTAAAAAAATAAATTGTAAAATTACTGGATACTAGTAAAACATTCACCCTCAATAGTCTTACCATTTTGGCTCATGTAAACTTGACAGCCTTCAGCCACTGCTTTTTGTCCATTATTCTCAAGTTTATGGTACAAAATATCCAAAGTGGCAGAACTTCCACAACGTGTATGCCATTTTTTCAACATCAAGTATTTCTGAGTTTCAGTATCGGCTGGATTGTCATGATAGATTGTGTCCATATCTACATGAGATACACCCAAGTCACGTGCTAAAATTTTACAGTCTGGCAATGTTAAGTTTTTTGAACAATAATCAAGTACCCGAAGTGTTACATCTGGAACAAAACAAGAAAAATATTTTAGTGTTACACAAGGTATTTTGCAGGGTGTTGCCATGACAATCATAAGATTTCATGATATTCGTTATTTCATGTTCTAATGCTATTATCATTGCAGGGTTAAAAAAGCATTCACAATACATAATTTGTCAAATTTGAAAAATACAGATTTTCTTAAAATATTCCAATACGCTAAACCTATTTTATGAACTTTGAAAAATGGCAATTCAACTCAACGCCAGTTCAATTCACATGACTCCCATTAATTATTAATTTACTGGCTATATTATTTGTCAATATAAAATTATAATGATAATTTATTTATTTGTTAAAGTTGTAGAGACTCTGCTGAACAATGTATTAAAAATAACCCTGCATGTTCAACATATATAAATTTGGTTAATCAGAATTACTTCAAAGTTAAGTTTGTGTCATCTTCTTGACTTTAGCAGTATTCGATCACTGGCTCTTCGACCAGTGTTTCGCAGCAGCTTGTGCAGACCCCATTGAAATACATGTTTGTTTGTTTTTTGTGTTAATAGCATGTACTTTTTATTTCGCAATAATGAAATACATGTTACAGTGGTACACATCTGAGCAACGTAGAATGTTCTGTGACGTAGCTATGCCCCTGACAATATGCAATCAACATCTCCAATTCTACTGTATATTGAATTGCATGGATATTTTCCAACAAAAAAAAAAGCGAAAAACAAAAACCTTATTGACTTAATATATGCTAAATCACTCTCTCTTCAAATTTTAACGTTTTTGAACCATGCATCAATATACACACACAGTAGCTTATAGAATACTAACCATGATGAGTCTGCCTGTTATCATGTGCTACTGTTGGTAGTTGAATGCCACTTTCTTTTATAAGATTCTGGGCAATGTTGGGATGGTGGATTAGACATGCTTTAACAAATGATTCAAAAGCATTTGGACCTTTTCTTATCAGTTGATCAATCAGTTCTCTTGCCTACACGAAAATATTACAGAAAGAAAGAAAGAAAGAAAAAAAAGAAAGAATAAATAAAAGAATGAATGAATGAACGAATGACTGCATGAATGAATGAATGAATGACCAAATGAATGAATGAATGAAAGAATAAATGCATGAATGAATGAAAAAACAACATGTAGACTTGAGATATGAAAAATCTCAAAACTTTGTAGCTGTGAAAATTCAACATGTTGTTGGTCATTGACTCCTGCAAAAATCAGATGTTTTTACACCAGCAAATTATATAAACAGTTTGCAGTATCTTAAGTTCAATGGTGATATTTACTATATTTGTTTTTTAGCTATCTGCAGAGAAAAACCCTGCTTCTGAACTTAGCATTGTATTGATAATAATGAGAACAAATATTAATATTAAGGTTGACAGTTTTAAACAAATTTTATCTAATACTTTGTGTAATGATTTTTATAAAAGAGAATATTCCGGTTAATGTAGTGTAAATTTTAATACAATATTTAACCTAACCAAGATTAACAACTCAATGGCCAAAATTTGACAAATTTGATTGAATAACAAAATAATAATTATAGTACTTGGATGCAAAATTTCAACTGATC